GGAAAGAGTCCTGGGGAAGGCATCATGTGACAGAATTGCCTCCTGCCAGAACAGGCCCAGCAGCCAGGGTTTACTGAATGAGGTGCTTGGTGCCTCACCTAATAGCAGTGTGATCTCTGTGCCCCAGGGCCGGCGGGCTGGTATCTGTCGGTGGGCTGGGAGTGTGCATGCACGCTGAGCCTCGTGTTATGTCTGAGACATCAGGGAAGGAAGCTTCTTGGTTCATGTGTGTGTGCTGTGCTCCTTGTAAGCCCTGCCTCTGCCCTGGATTTGCTGTGTGGATGAATGCAACGTACCCAGGACACATTGGTCAACCTCTATGAGTCTCAGTTTCCTCAAATGCAAAATGGTGATGGGAATAGTATCCTTCCCCGCAGAGGTTATTGTGGGGTTTACCTGAGGCAGTATTTACAAAGCCTCTCTATTCCTCTCGTCAGCCAAATTCTTTGTCCCTGGCCTTGGCACTAGGTTTTCTCTCTGCCTGGAATCTTCTTTCCTCAGCTCTTTGCCTGGCTGGTTCCTTCTCATCTTTCAAGCCTAAGTTTCAGTATTAGCTGCTTAGAACAGCCTTCTTTGACCACTGTAAATAGCCTATGAATCTTCACCACCTTCTTATTCTCCATCACAGCTTCCTTTTATTTTTTTCCCAGGCTGTCTCACTCTCTGAAATGATCTGATTTTGTTTCCTTGTTTAATTCTTTTCTCCACTGGAGGCTAAACTCCATGAGGACAGGGGCTGTATCAGTCTTGGGATGCTGTGTCACCAGTGCCCAGACAACACCAGGCACAGAGTAGCCATTCAGTACATATGTGCTAGGAGAAGGGAGTTGGGGCGGGGGGAAGAGGAGGGGAGGAATTGCCCACTGCCGCCATCATTATCATTATCACCACCATCACCACCACCACCACCACCACCACCACCATCATCATCACCACCATCCCCATCATCACCACCACCACCACCATCACCACCACCATCACCACCACCACCATCACCAGCAACCATCACCACCACCATCACCATCACCCCCCCACCATCCTCATCACCATCACCACCACCACCACCACCATCATCATCATCACCACCACCACCATCATCATCATCACCACCACCACCATCATCATCATCACCACCACCACCATCATCATCATCACCACCACCACCATCATCATCATCACCACCACCACCATCATCATCATCACCACCACCACCATCATCATCATCACCACCACCACCATCATCATCATCACCACCACCACCATCATCATCATCACCACCACCACCATCATCATCATCACCACCACCACCATCATCATCATCACCACCACCACCATCATCATCATCACCACCACCACCATCATCATCATCACCACCACCACCATCATCATCATCACCACCACCACCATCATCATCATCACCACCACCACCATCATCATCATCACCACCACCACCATCATCATCATCACCACCACCACCATCATCATCATCACCACCACCACCATCATCATCATCACCACCACCACCACCATCACCACCACCACCATCACCAGCAACCATCACCACCACCATCACCATCACCCCCCCACCATCATCATCACCATCACCACCACCACCACCACCACCACCACCACCACCACCATCATCACCACCACCACCATCATCATCGCCACCACCAACATCACCATCATCACCATCACCATCTTCATCATCATCATCATCATCATCATCATAGCTGGAATCGTAGTAGTAGTAGTAGTGGTAGTGGTGGCGGTGGCGGTGGCGGGTGGCAGTGGCGGTGGCGGTGGCGGTGGCTGTAGTAGTAATGAGTGCTTGTTAGGTGCCAGGCAATGTTTTCTAAGCATCTTATATAGGTTAACTCAGTCCTTGACAATAACCTTATGAAGTAGGTATTGTTACAGTTGATAAATGTGAGATCTGGGATTCAGCCCCAGTTCCAGAGCCCAGGCTCCTAGCCACTGCACTAACTGCCCCTACATGAGTGAATGAGGCAGCAAGCCCCGGGAACCCACAGGGGAATGGTAGCTATTTTCCTATTGCTCTGCTTTCACTGTCACGGTTGAACCGTGAAACTTCCAGCCTTTCTACCACCTGCTTGGGCCCCAGGGTCAGAGAGACTGACCTGGGGCTACCATTGGCATAGAGCAGCCTCAGGCCTCTGTCCAGGGGTTTGGACGCAAGAGGCCATGGTGTGAAGCGGCTGTCCTTAGAGGAGGGGACGGGCGTCCCCCACGTGGACAGCCCTGGGCCTGGGGTCACATGCTGATGAGCAGCAGAGTCCAGACTGGGGCTCTTAGGCCAGGCCCCTTTCCATTTCCACCTGCTGCCTTCTCGTAAACTTCTTTGATTCTTGGAGTCCATAGCACATTTCTTGGGCATCTGCCATCCCAGCAAACTGAGAGGATCTGAGTGGATTTGGCGGGAGGGTGATGGTAGTGCAGCTGTGTGTACAGAGCCGATTTCTACACAAAGCCACTGAGTCCAAGGCGTTGACTAACCGTGTCCCCTCTCTGCCTCTCTGCTCACTGCAGATAATCGACAGTGAGAATGAGGCCCTCCTGGCAGCACTCACCAAAACCCTGGATGACATCCCCGAAGATGTTGTGCATCTGGCCGCCTTCCCAGCCCTGGATGATGGAGACGCACCCTCCTGCACTTCTGCTTCGCCTGTCCCCTCATCTGCGCCCCCAAGCCCCTCCCTGGAGAGGGCCCCAGCCTCAGCCCCTGAAGTGGATGAGCTCTCGCTGGTGAGAATCTATTTCCAACTGAAGTGATGGTGGTGGCTTGAGATGTGGTGTCTGGTGGTAGAGGTGGTGGGTGCTGGAAAACCAGCTCCAGCCCCTGCAGGGGTCTCCGTGCATCACTGGCAAGGGTTCAGGGCAGCAGCCTGGACTGGCCATGGGAGGCCTCCCTGGGCTTCGCCTGCAACACTGTAGGCCCTTTGGGATTTCATGGGTTGACCCTAAGTGTGTGTTAAACCCTTGAAATTAAATGTAAACATTTTCCTAAAGATGATGCTTACACACACAGTAAAAATTCAAGCAGGAAGTATGGATAGTTAAAAGCAGAACCTCCTTACCCATCTCATAATTGTTTTTTCCTACCTTAGAAGTAACCATGGTTACTGATCTGTTGTGTGACTTTCCTCTTCCATTTTCTTTTTAACTACAAAAGGAAGCCTCCATTATATACTGCCCTGCACCTTGCTTTTCTCAAGTGAATTGTGTGTCTTGGGAACTCTCTCCGATGAGCAGAGGTATCTCTGTTTTATCCTTTTTGTTGGCTACATAGTGTTCCTTCATAAGGATGTACCATACTTTTTTAACCAGTTCCCTGGTTGGCAGATACGTACATTGTTTCAACTCCTTTATTGTTCCATTGCTTCAGTCTGTGTCCTGTTACTGGCCTTGGCCATTTGTAAGTGGATACATTCCTGGAAAAGGAATTCCTTGGTCGTAGGATGTGTGGTTTTTCAGTTTAGGCAAATACTTCCAGTTTGCCCTCCAAAGAGGTTGGACTGGTTTGTGCTTCCACCAGCAAAAGTTAACTGCCACCTGAGTGTCCGTGGAATGTAGAAACGTACACATGGCATTGCAGGTTTCTAGGGAGAAGGTCTCAGCTTTTTCAGATTCCGAAGGGTTCCAGACCTCAGAAGTTGCTGAAAGCAGTTGCCCTTGACTCAGGCTTAGGGTGCCAGAAAGCCAGATGTCCTGGCTTGTGAAGAGCAGCTCATCTGTCTTGGGCTCCTCACCTTGACACTGTAGCTCCTAGGGGCTGGTGAGACTTAGCTGGAAAATCAGAGCCTGTTGGAGGTGGAAGGGGTCTTTGGTCGTGAAGAGTTAGAGCCGGACAGGCCCTTGGTGACCGTAAAGTGTGACTCTGGGGAAATTGAGGCCAAGCGAGGGGAGGGCCTCTCCCAGGGTCACACAGCAGGTTGGTGTGCCAGCAAGGACCGGAGCTCAGGTACTCTGACTCCTGGTCCAGGACCCCTTTCCCTCTTTCCCGCTGCCTGCAAGTTCCCCAAAGCAGTGTGAAATATTTAGTAAGCACCTATGTGTGCCGGATACAAGCATATGTTCAGTCCCACATTGTGGCTCCTGCTGATAAGTGTTGTGCTTCCTTTCAGACTAGAATCAGACCTCCTGGGTTTGATTCCCAGCCCCACCAATGAATGCTTATGTGTCCCTTAGGCACCTAGCCTCCCTCTGACCCAGCTTCCTGGTCTGTAAGGTGGGGTTAACAATAGTGCTTATCTCAAAGGCGGTTGGGAGGAGTACAGCAGATTAATACATATAAAGAACTTAGAACAGTGCCTGGTACAAAGAAGTGTCTCAAAAAGTGCTATCTGAGTGATAGTCCCAGCACAACTGGTGGTGGTGGTCATGGAACAAGAGGAATTCTGTATGGGACTCTGGAGAGGGACCAACCTGGAAGAGGTAGAGAGTGACCCTTGCTGGTCACCGGTTGTTCCCTCTCATGCCTTAGACGGCACTTTTGTTTCAGGCACTGGGCTAGGCACACAGGAAACAGATTCACCATTGAGACTCCCCGCATACCAACAGAGTTCTAGAAAGGCCCTGAGAATTTATACAGACACCCGGTTCTTAACCTGGAGACATGGGTCCCAGAGAGTCTACCTCTGGACTAATGGGGACCCGTGGACCTCTACATAAATGTGTGTTTTTCTGAGGTCAGTAGCTTCTCTCATATTCTTAGAGGGACCCCTGAGTCAAAAAAGACCCAATCATTTAGTCTACCTGCCCCTGTTTTACACACACACAGACACAGACACACACACACAGACACCCCCCCCCACACACACACACACATACCCCCTACCTTGGAGAAACCAAGGCTGGTTTCTCCCAGTCCTTTCCCTCTTCCTCAAGGCTGGGAGAGGGAAAGGACTCACCCAAGGTCTCACAGTGAGCTGGGATTGAACTGAATCAGAACCAGGTCCCTTGCCTCTGGTCTAAGAATCTTTTCCTGTCCACGCCAGAGAATCACAGATGTGTGTGTTGGTCTGGGGTTGAGGTAGGGTGGTGTGGCTCATCCAGCTCCTAGGGGAGTGGTGAGTGGCCTTTACTTTGGTTCCCAGGCCTTTGGCAATCCTCCTGGGGGTCATGTCCCTTGAGGAAACACTTGATGCTGTAGCAAAAGCCCATCATGCTTCTTGACTTGTTCTCAACCTTGGCTGTGGTAGGATCCCTGGCGAAACCCCCAGGCGTACTCAGCTCCTTGCTTTCTTGGCTGGGATACACTGAGCACTTTTCCTCCGGGTACAGAAGCTCAGCAACTTTTATAGAAAATTTAGAAAAGCCAGACAAGCTTAAGCAGCTTCCACTTGTGTGAAAACAGCTGGCTGGGTTGGAAGTGATGTATATATATATATATTCTTGTATGATTGAATCCCACCTCATGAAAGGTCACAGAAAGTGGTGTATGTGTACTACGAGTATATGCAGAATGTCCCAATCAAATGTGTGCATCATATTTCAACAGTAGGATGGGTAGACATCACCCAACATCTGTCTGGGTTTCTCAAGATCACAGATATTCCTCTTAGGTTATTAACTCTCAAAAGGACTTACATTTTATTGGGATGCCTGTATGGGTTTGGGATTGTTAGACAGCCTGCTTTCTGTACTTAATATATTGGGAACATATTCTAGGTCATTAAGTGCCCTTCCTGTGTTCCACCATGGCCCTGTGATGTTGGGGTCAGGGTGTGGTTGGTCCTGAGGGGCTGGCTCTGGGCCAGGCTTCTCCCTGAGGTGCACTTCCCCTGTCTCTGGCTGCAGCTCAGCCCCGGCTCCTCTCCTCTCTGTTCCTCCCACAGCTGCAGAAACTCCTTCTCACCACGTCCTACCCAGCCTCGGCCTCTGACGGCCAGAAGGAAGGGACCGCCTGGCGCCAGGCAGGCCTCAGGTCCAGAAGCCAGCGGCCTTGGGTCAAGGTATTTCTGCACATGCCCCCAGACCCACCCAGGCCTCTGGGGGTCTCTGGGGAGGGCGGTGTGCACCTTTCCGCTCTTGTTAGAGGCCATCAAGTTCAATGCACTTCCAGCTTCCCTCTTTGCTCATCACACAACCCTTGTCGCTGATATGCTGGGCACTGCTTGAGACCCAGGCCAGTCTGGGGTTCTAGAAAGAGCCTTGGGCTTGTTCATGTGCAGTTGACCCTTGAACAACGTGGGTCTGAATTGTATGGGACCACTTCCACGTGGATTTTTTTTCAGTAGTAAATACTACAGTACTGCAGGATCCGCAGTTGGTTGAATCCATAGATGCAGAGGAACCGTGGCTGCTGAGGGCTGACTAGAAGTCATATGTGAATTTCCCACTGCGCGCGCGGCTGTTCTACCCCCTGCAACCCGCACATTGTTCAAGAGTCAACTGTACCTCAGTGTTCCAGGCACTGTGTTAGATGTTGGGTTAGAGCAGGGACGAGGAGGATGTGGCCTGCCCTCAGGAAGCTTATGCTAATGATGTGACGGAAGGAAACAAAAGATCCTCACTGGCACCATGGAGGCCATAAGGAGTTTGGATTTCTCTTTGTGAGGAGCCATCGGAGAGCTGAAAGCTCTATCTTGAACACCCAGGAGGGAAGCAAGTCCCTTTTCCTCCTTGGGCTCCATCTTCTGAGACTTCCAAGGAGAGGTTTCAGAGGTAATTTTCCCAGCGTTCCTGTTACTCAAAGCCTGCAACCAGCCCTCCCCTCTTGTCCCCAGACACTGCTGCAGGGCACTGCTGCGGACAGTCCCACCCCTTGGGGCGGAATCAGGATGGCATCTTTCTCAGACAGTGGCTCTGTAGGAGTCTGTCCCCTGCCTGGGCTCCCCTGGGGGGGTGGACCCTGTCCCTGTGCCCCCTCCCTACTTGTCCTGGCTGACCTCCCAAAACAGAGGTCCATCCCTCATGTTCCATTTTGTCAACAGGGCAGCAGCTAAGCTCCTTCCTGAGCCAGCCTGCCCTCTGGAGTGCTAGGGGGCACACCAGGGGCGTGAGACACCCTTGACAGCCAGTCTGGCCCCAGCAAAGAGACATTTGCACTGGGAGCAAAGCCCCTGTGTGGACCAGTGGGGGCAGATAAGGCTGGAGACAGCGGTCGGGTGGGGCTACATTGCAGAGCACCCCTGGCCAGGGGGCCTCCCCTTTACCCCACGGGTACTGGGAAGATACTGAATTGTTCTTTTTCTTTTTCTTTTTTTAACAGCTTTATGGAGGTGCCACTTATATACCATAAAAGGCACCTGTTTTAAAAGTATGATTCAGTGATTTTTAGTAAATTTACAGAGTCGTGCAGCCACGACCACAATCCAGTTTTAGAACGTTTCCATCATCCCAGGAAGATCCCCAGTGTCCCTGTTTACAGTTAGTCCCTGTTCCCACGCCCAGCCCCAGGCAACCACTAATGTATTTCCTGGCACTCTCTCTGAAGGCTCCTTGCAGGAGAGTGGGGTAGTCAGAACCGGGCTTTGGCAGTAAATCTAGAAAAGACGAAATCCATAGCTAGGAGACCTGTTAGGAGGCTGGCCATTCCTTCATTCCTCATCCCCTGAGCACTGCTAAGCGCTAGGCTCTGTGCTGGAACCTGGGGATGAAGTGGTGAAACCTGGCAATTCTGACGATCCGGGTGAGACACGCTGGGCCTGGCCAGTGGCTGCAGGGGTGGGCAGCGGGGAGAAGCAATGTGGGTCTCCTTCCTCACTCTGGCCTCTTTTCCTCTCCAGATGGACAGCGCCCATGACAGGAAGGCCCGCATGATGCAGTCTCAGACGCGGAGTTGCACAGAGCTGCATAAGCACCTCACCTCGGTGCCGTCCTGTCCCCGGGCTAAAGCCCGCTCCCCTGATAGTGTCCTCCAGCCACCACCACCCCTGAGTTCCTGGGTCCCTGCCAAGGAGGATGAGGAGGCGGGTGAGGACTGCCCGAGCCCCCAGCCAGCTCCAGCCTCTCCCTGGGAATCCCCAGCACCGGGCAGGGCAGACCCCGGCGCCCAGGTGTCCCAGGAGGACATGCAGGCCATGGTGCAGCTCATTCGCTACATGCACACCTACTGCCTTCCCCAGAGGAAGCTGCCCGCACAGGCCCCAGAGCCAGACCCCCAGCCCTGCAGCAGCCCCGCCAAGCAGGTCAGACCCCGGCCTCGGTGCCAGCACCCTTCCAAAGCCACCTGGGCTGAGTTCTCCATCCTGAGGGAACTTCTGGCTCAAGATATCCTCTGTGATGTCAGCAAACCCTACCGCCTGGCCACGCCTGTCTACGCCTCCCTCACACCCCGGGCCCGGCCCAGGCCCAAAGACAGCCAGGCCTCTGCGGGCCACCCCTCCCCCGTGGAGGAGGTGCGGGTCACGGCTTCACCCCAGAGCTCCGGGCCCAGACCCAGCCTGCGCCCGCTGCGGCTGGAGGTGAAAGGGCACATCAGCCGGTTGGCCAGGCCGCAGCCTGAGGAGGAGGAGGAGGAGGAGGAAGAAAAAGAGGAAGAGGACTGGGGCCGGAAAAGGCCGGGCCGGGGCCTGCCGGGGACCAGGCTGGGGCGGAAGCAGGAGAGCTCCGTGTGCCCCGTGCGGCGTTCCAGGAGACTGAACCCGGAGCTGGGCCCCTGGCTGACGTTCACCGATGAGCCCGTGGTCCCCGCGGAGCCCCAGGGGGCTCTGCCCTCGCTGCGCCTGGCCCCTGAGGCCTACCACGTGGAGGGGGAGCTGGGCAGCCCCGCTGACGAGGACAGTGGCCAAGACCAGCAGCTCCGACGGGGACCCCAGATCCCAGCTCTGGAGAGCCCCTGTGAGAGCGGGTGTGGGGACACCGACGAGGACCCCAGTTGTCCGCAGCTCTCTTCTGGAGGTAGTCGGAGTTGGTGGTCCGAGGGAGGGGGCAGGGCCAGGGTGTGGCAGACCCCACTGCCCGGGAGCCAGGAGCCCTGGGTTGGGCAAATCCCTCTCCCTCTCTGGCTCTCAGCTTCCCTTCCTATGCAGTAGGCTCGTTGGGCAGATCTTCAGGAACCTCCTCCCCATCTCTGAGTTTCTCATCATGCATGGGCCAGGTGTCCTTGATGAACGAGCAGCAAGATGCCTGCCTTCTTGGGGCTTGTGTTTCAGTGGGGGAGACAGGCAGTCAAAAAGTGGGCAAGAAAGGAAAAGTGATGACAAATTGTGATAAGTGCTCTAAAGAAGGCTCCCTGGGTAGCAATGTGATGGAGGGTGTGAATCTATAAATTCAGCTCCACAATGAAGTGGCATTTTAAATGGTAACAATAGTGGGGATAATAATACAGCAGTTATCTGTTATGTACTCGCTATGCCAGGCTTGGTCTAAGACTTGACACGGATTATCCCCGTTGATCCTCACAGGAAGCCCGTGTGCTGGGTGCTGTTATAATTCCCATTTTAAGACACAGAAACAAAGGCACAGAGATAGCTAATGGTCGGTTCAGCGAGTTAGTCCTGCATCTGTCTGGGGCAGAGCCCACAGCCACCAGCCTTGGAAGCTGGAACGCTTCACCATTGTGCTACACTGATTGGCCAGAAGGGGTTGCCCTGGTTCCCATCAACTCTGCAGAATCAGTAGATCCGCCAGCTGTTAATGTTGCTGAGTCTGGGGGGATCAAGGTGGATTTGAGTTGTTCCTGCCAGTCCCTAAAAGTGGCAGAGGCTTTTGGGTCACACGCCTGAAAGAAGCTGTGCTTGGTACCGATGAAGTTCAGAGGGAAACATCTGCTAGCCATGCCATGTTGGGGAAAATCTTATTTTTTTCTTTTTCGTCTTCTTTTCAGACTCTCCCAGGTGCCTCATGCTGGCCTTGTCGCAAAGGTAGATTTTTAGAAATTGTTGGTTTATGACTCCAGGAGACCTTATCTGGTTGGGTGTAGGGTGGTTCATCGGCCCCTGAGCCTGGTCCTGTCCCCACACCCCTGCCCTCATTGCCATATGGGACTCTTAGGATCTGGCCTCCTTTGAAAGGGAGTTTGTTTTTAGAAGCAGGCCCAGGGAAAGATGGAGAATTTCATGGGGAAAAGCTGACAATGCTGTGTGGCTTTGGGCAAGTGTCTTCTCCTCTCTGGGCCTCAGGTGTTCCATCATAAAATAAGGAGGCTGACAATGCTTGTCCTGTCTCCACCTCCCTCAAGTCTCTCCCGTGTCTCCTGAAAGAGCTGTACAGCTTTGATTTCCTCCAACAACCAGGAGAGAGTTCCCCTGAAAATTCTCCCCACGTGTCGCTTTCGTGGGCAGCAGAACCAGGGTCTGGCACAATGTCCCCTTGCCTTCCTGCCATGCTCGGGGAGGTGGAGCCTGCTGCTGACTGACTCCTCTCCTTCCTGTGCTCCCCAGCCCCACTGGTGACCCTCCTTTTGGCAAGAAGAGCTTCGAGCAGACCTTGACGGTGGAGCTCTGTGGCACGGCAGGTGAGCCGGGGGCTCAGCTGGTGGGGTGCCCTTGGGGACGCAGCCTCTCGGGCAGTTAGGGGGTACCCCATCGAGCCTTCCTTGCCACCGCTGCACAGGCTACGCCGGGTCTTGAGCTACACATTGAGAGCGTTATAAGGAGAGTCAGGGCCCAGGTTCAGCTGTTTAGCTGCCAACAGTTGGCACATGACCTGACATGAAAAGAGACACGTGTCTTCCCCTGAAGGAGCCCACAGTCTTATGTGGGCGACAGACTCACACCATGACAAGTACTGTTTGATATGTGCTTGTTCCAAAGACCGTGCAAGAGCTCTGGGAGCACAGAGGAAGGGGAAGAGTGGGGAGGGGCAGGATGTGGCCTGAGAAGATTCACAAAGTACCCAGAGCAGCAGGCATTTGAGCTAGGCTTGCAGGATGCATAGAAGTTGGAGAGACAAAAAAAAAGGGAAGGGTATCCCCGGCCGCGGAATTGGCATGAGCAGAGGCACAGAGGAGCGGCAGTATAGGTGCATCAGAGGAGACTGGCCACCCGGTGTTGCTCTGTGGCAGAACTGGGGGGTCAGGCAAACACAACCACCAAAGGCTGAGAGGAATGCTAGGCTGAAGGGGTTCGTCTAGATCCTGTGGGCTTCAGGAGCACCAGAAAGGAAGAGCTCTCTGGCTGATGCCCCGGGGACAATGGAGTCCAAGATCAGTTGCAGGACCACCAAGGTCACTGTGGTGGTCAAATCCAGGTGGGAGATTTTACCTATGGTACCTGCCCCCTCTGCACCCTGGGAGACTTCAGAGGCATTTGGAACGACCAGTGAGAGGGCTTGTGGAATGATTGGATGTGGGTGGAGCAGGAAGAGAGATCTTGGATGATCTGGAGGCTTTGGCTACCGTTGCCAGACTACAGAAGGGATGGCAAAGGGCTTTCATCACATGCCAGCTCTGAAAAATTACTGATGGACTGTGTGAGAAGGAGTCCCAGGCTACGTCCAGGCTCAGTCAGCAGTGCGGTAATCGATTAGTGATGCCTGCCATCCATTGGCTCTGGGGAGTGGTGACATACATGCTATTTCTCTGCCCTCCCAAACTAGGGTTTCAGTGTTCCTTGGAGAAGTGATCTGTCTCTGCCTCACATGTGTTTCCTCTTGCTTGGGTAGGACTCACTCCGCCCACCACGCCTCCGTACAAGCCCACAGAGGAAGACCCCTTCAAGCCAGACATCAAGCACAGCCCAGGCAAAGACATAGCTCCCACCCTGGAGGTTCCCCAGCTCGGGGCCGCCGCAGAGGCTGCCCGCAAGCTGCCAAAGAAGCACCCAGAGCGGAGCGAGCTCCTGTCGCACCTGCGGCATGCCACAGCCCAGCCAGCCTCCCAGGCTGGTCAGAAGCGCCCCTTCTCCTGTTCCTTTGGAGACCACGACTACTGCCAGGTGCTCAAGCCAGACGGCGCCCTGCAGAGGAAGGTGCTGAGGTCCTGGGAGCCATCTGGGGTCCACCTTGAGGACTGGCCCCAGCAAGGGGCCCCGCGGGCTGAGGCACAGGCCTCTGGCAGGGAGGAAGACGGGAGCTGTGATGTCGGTGCCCCCACCAAGGACAGTACGCTGCTGAGAGACCACGAGATCCGCGCCAGCCTCACTAAGCACTTTGGCCTCCTGGAGACAGCCTTGGAGGATGAAGACCTGGCCTCCTGCAAGAGCCCCGAATACGACACCGTCTTTGAGGACAGCAGCAGCAGCAGTGGCGAGAGCAACTTCCTCCTGGAGGAGGACGACGAGGAGGAGGAGGATGAAGAGGACTCAGGGGTCAGTCCTCCTCGCTCTGACCACTGCCCCTACCAGAGCCCACCAAGCAAGGCCAGCCGGCAGCTCTGTTCCCGCAGCCGCTCCAGCTCTGGCTCCTCGTCCTGCCGCTCCCGGTCACCAGCCACGCGAAGGACCTTCAGGTATGGATAGACGGGTGACCTCAGGATGGGTGGTGGACCCCTGAGGACCCCCCAGTTTCAGGGTGTCAGGGGAGAGAGGAGCCCTGAAACTGGGGCTGCGTTTCCCTGTGTGGTCAGTGTCCTGGTCGGAGGCCCTGGAGGTGGACTCCTTGGGGGGAGTTGTGGGCAAGTCCTGTATCCAGGCAAAGCCTGCTGTGTGGCAGTCAGGAGTGGCCCAAACCTCCTGGCCTCGGGGGAGGAAGAAAACCCACTTTCTGGCCTATTGTGGCCTGATATCCAAATGAACTTGCCCCTCATTCATCTGTTTCTGTTTTTATATTTGTAAGATGGTTAGGTTTTTGGGTAAACATATACAGTTAACCCTTGAACGAGGCGAGGGTTAGGGGCGCCAATCCTCCCTACAGTCAAAAATCCCGTGTAATTTATAGTCGGCCCTCCTTATCCGAGGTTCCTTCGTATCCGCAGATTCAACAAGTGCCGACAGTGTAGTGCTGTGGTATTTACTGTTGAAAAAAATCCCAATGTAAGGGGATCCACAGAGCTCACATCCATGTTGTTCAAGGGTCAGTATACCCACACAGTGTAATACCTGTGTGATGTTTACATGTGAAAGGAAGATCAGCATAATTCTAATCTATGTTCAAAAAAAAAAAAAAACCGGGATTTAAAGCAGTGATAAGGTTTATTCCCACTTCTCCGTGCTGCTGAGTTGCACAGTGTCTTCCGGCAGTCACCCGCCCCCGTGGGAGCTCTTTTACCTTCGCACAGGGATGATGTGTCATGAGCCTGTTTGCTCGTACCATCTTTGCTCACTGAACCGGACTGTAGAAGGAGCTGGTCCAGAATTCCGTGGGGGGCTGGGCAGAAAGAATGGAAGTTTGGCATATTTTGATGGAGATAGATTGCTTCTCTCCCTGCTCACAGCAGGACCTGGCTCTTCCTGGGGGAGGCCTGAGGAGGGTGGGTGCAGGTCCCAAACCCTCTGCCCGAGATGCACCTGAGTGACCACCAGATGGTGCTCTTGGGTCCGGAGCAGTGCAGAGTCACCAGGAGGCCTTGTTACCACACAGATGGCAGGGCCCCACCTCCTGAATGTCTGGTTTTGTAGGTCTGGGGGTGGAGGTGGAGAATTTGCATTTCTAACAAGTTCCCAGGGAGTGATGACGTTGCCAGAGTGCCATGTTCTGAGAGGCAGAATTCAGGTAATAGAAAGATACCTTTTCTTAGGAAAATTCTGCTTTGTATTTCCTTATCTATACCAGTAGCTCTTAACTGAAAATCTGATTAAAAGCAAAGCCTCCTTTCCCCATTAAAATGAGCATAGACGTCTAACTGAGCATTCAATTTTAGGGGATTTGTGGACTCCCCAGACACTAACATGCTGAAGTCCTGAACTATCTGTCACTTGAAATGAGCTTATCTTGAGCAATTTCTCTAAAAGCCCTTCTACGTAATAAGCCAGGACGGTCAGTCAGAGCCATCTTCCGTCAGACCTCTCTGAGCCCTCCTTCCAGCTCCGTTCTCCTTTCTCCAGGGGTCGCTGTGAGCTAGCCCACCTGTGTTCTCATTAGGCGGTTTCCTCTGCAGCATCTGCTCAGAAGCTGCTACGGTTCTTGTCCTGTTGAAGCGCATCCCCCAAGGCAGGAGCTGCAGTTCCTCGGCCTCCTTCCCCTCCTGAGCTGTTCAGGGCCTGTACCCGTGGGCTTGTCTGCAAAGAGTTGGGGGCCTCTTTCGAAAGCCCCATAGATTCTCCTTTTCCTCTTCTCCCTTTTGGGCCAAGTTCAGGGCTGGCTTTCTCTGCCACTGGAGAAGGTTAATTGGTTAACTTGGTTCCTGCTCAGCTGCCTGGCAGAGCTTGGTGGCTAGTAAACCTGAAAAACTCGTCATCAGTCTTCTCCAGACCAGCATTTCTTTACCTGTGCTTCTGCTACCAAACGACAGTCAACAGGAAGCACTTTGAGCTGGTTTAACAAGCCCTACAGCATCTTCCAGTCACTCTCAGCTCTTCATGGGGGGGAGGCTGCCAATTCCATTGCAAATGGATGATGATACTATTATTGTATAGTACTTTAAAGTTTGCAAGTCACATCCCTTTCTTTTACCCTATGTGAGCTTCACAGATGCACTTGGAGGGTGCGTCTGCCTCGTATCCCCATTTTATAGATGAGGAAGCTGAGGCTCAAAAACGTTCAACAGAAAAATATAGCCAGCAAGTATTGAGCTGTTCCTGGGCTAAGCGTTTATGGGCGTGTTCTGATCTGATCCTCCCAAATGGCCTAGGAGGCAAATACAATTGATTCTCCCTAGTTTACAGGTGAAGAACTGGAGCTGAGGTGGCTTAAGTAGCCAGCCCAAGGTCACCAGCAGGGAGGTGGTAGAGTCAGCATTGGAACGCTCTCTGACTCCGGAGCCCCTGCTCTCATCCTCTGCTCTATTCCCAAGGACGCAGACAGCGTGTGGCAGAGTTGGGACTCACCCATGCCCCACATGCCTTGCTGCTTCCACTCTAGCAGCCTGGCCCTCAGGAGGAGAGGGCAGTGTGCGGACAGTCAGGAGGGCGCAGGCGTGCGGCATCCAGGAGCCTCTCAGGCTGTGCATCTGGGCTGACTGGTTCCCTGACCCCCAGGACCCGGGGGCTGTGGTGGCTGCTGGGGCTGCTGCCCGGTGAGGCTCCAGCCACTGGAGGGAGAGCAGTGGGTCTGGAATCAGCAGACCTCCCACTAGCTCTGGCTTCCTTACTTTTTAGCTTTGCGCGAATTTCATACTGAACCTGAGCTTCAGGGTTTTCATCTGGAAAGTGGGGAAACATGAGACCTCAGAGGATGGTTTTTTTTCATCAGGTCAAATACCGTAATGAAGCGAGAGGGCCTTTCCACCCGCGTTGGCATAGAAAGGTTCACAAGGTTTGCTTTGATTAGCAAAGTGGTGGTTCTCAGTGATCTCTTCCCAGAAGCTGGCAGAAGGTATGTGCTGGTCACGTGTTCAGACCCACAGGCGACCCCGGGCGGTCACCGCTGAGGGGGAAAGCCCGGCTCCCTCAGGAGGGCCTTCTCATAGTTCTGCCCTCACGAACGAGTCCGAAAGAAGCGGAGGAAGCACCCCTTGCCTCCTGAGCAAGTCCTTCCCCCGTCCCCCGTGGTTCCTGCCGAGAGTGAGTGCCTCTGCTTTGCTTGTTCACTGACAGATGTGAGAGCAGAGGGTCGTGTTCAGACAGAACGCCAAGTGTCCGGCACACCAGGAAGCGGCGGGAAAAGGCCATTGTAAGTGAAATGGGGCCCCAGAGCCCAGAGTGAATGGGGATGAGCAGGGGCATCAGGAAGTGCTAGGGCTTCGTAGACCTGAAGCCCTTTGAGGTCATCTGTGGCCTGCAGGAGGTAGTTATATTTCTCTCATTTAAAAAAGCACAGGGGTCACCGAAGGGCATCAAAGGTGGCACCGTGCAAAATGCAGCCAAGGGACTGGCTGGGAGGCGTGCAGTTGGTGAGCACGTAGGGCTCAGCGTCAGAGGCTTGACAGGGCCCGGGGGACAGGTGGTGACGGGGGAGCAGAGCCGGCCCTGCTTCCACTTCGGTGTGACCGTCAGTTGCTCCCCAGCTTCCCTGAGCCTCAGTTTACTCATCTGTACACAGGGTCCCCCGGCGCGATCGGGGCTAAGGGACCAAGAGAGACTCTCCCTTCCTTCTGATCTGTCTCCTTAATCTTCTCCCAGAGTTAGTTCAGAGGCCAGGCTGTGCCTGGTGGACCCACTGCAAAGCACCCCGTAGGGAAAATTCATCAGGAAGCTGCGGCGAGGAGCTGGACTCATCTCCTCCATATCACTTAGAAAGGAGGGAAGGGAAAGTAAGACGGAAGCACGAACTGACAGACAGACTCTCACTGGATTGTCCATCTCTCCCCCAGCATGGTGCTTCAGGGAAGGGAACACATGAGGTACGCATACCCCAGAGGTATGCATGCAGCTGTCTCGAAGCAGGTACTTAAAACCATGTGGAGCGTCTTCCTGGAAACCATGTGTGACCATTCAGCAGTTGTGACATGCCCTGTTCTAGGTGCTGGGTGGCAAAAGTGAACGAGACAAACAAAGTCCCCACTTCCCATGGTTGGGCCAGAAGGGAGAGAGAGACAACAGACTCATAAACAAATCAATAAACACTGTAATTACAGATTGGGAGGTGCACTATGAAGTTAATCACGTCATGACTAAAATGTCTGAAACAGTCGTGTTTTGACTGGTGGGGCTGATGTATTTATATGGTCGTCTAGGAGGGGCATCTTCAAGGAGCTGGGCCCCAAGGGCTGAAAGGAGCCAATGAAGCAAAGATTCTGGAGGACAGTGGGGCAGAGGCAGGAAAGAGCCTTGTGAATTCAAGGTGCCGGAGGAGGCTGGGAGAGGACATTGCTACACGCAGCTGAACCTAGGCCATCCTAGGGAACGTGCACAGTTCCCGTGACCGTACAGCAGCGCCCTGCTGTGGACTGCGGGCCCTTGCTTTCCTCCCTGCCCTCAGTGGCGCAGAAGGGGATGGCTGGAGAATCACAGGCCTTAACCTGTTCCGGAGAAAGCCCATCTAAACCAGAACCTGGTGATTTTGCCCACAGGAGCACAGCTGGAGTTTCTCCAGCAAATCAAAGCCACTCTTCCGA